AACTGGAACGATAAGATTCTTGGAACAAGAACAACTGCAATGTTTGTCACAGATTTGGTTCAGTGGTCCAAGTCTCTTGGACTCGAGACCTTGTGGACCCAAATACCTGGAGCTGAAACATTTCATGAGTTTCTGGTTTATCAATTTGATGTAATTCTTTAATGCTAGTGGATTCTTGCCTGAGTTGATGTAATCTAGAAGTGGATTGACGTTACTGTGAGAAAATCAAAGTACAAGCTGTGTGATTCGTTCAAAGCTGTTGATTTCATGTAAATAATCATTGTTGCATGTTGTATTCTGATAAATGTTGTGCGGATGCTTTATCATTATTCAACTTTCCCTGTCTGCTATCGATTATACAGAAGTGGCATCTATGTAATTTCTTTACCTAACCTTTACCCGACAACATTTCAATGTGCTAGGGCATTGCATTGAGGGGCCTTTTCATAATTGACAAGGAAGGAATTATCCAACACTCCACAATAAACAATCTTGCCATTGGTCGAAGTGTAGATGAGACAAAGAGAACTCTCCAAGTAATTGCATTAGCTAATGAAGAGATTATTTTTTATTGATATCAAGGCCTCTTGATCTCACTTCCTACTCTCTCATGTTTTGTTCCAGGCCTTGCAATATGTGCAGGAGAACCCCGACGAAGTTTGCCCAGCTGGATGGAAACCCGGGGAGAAGTCGATGAAGCCAGACCCCAAGGGTAGCAAAGAGTACTTCTCTGCTATTGCTTAAATGTGTGAGGCGATCTAAAAAGTTCGAGTTTGGTGCGATGCCCATTGCCATTTCAGTTGTTTAAATTTTGATTGTGCCGCTTGTGGAACAAATCGGTTAAAGAGGCTCGAGCCATTGGATATAGAGTGTTCAATTTCTCATCTTTAGATGAACGAAGCAGCAATAAATCGATAGGCTGTAGGCAAATAGTTTGTTTTGTAGAATTACAATCCGGATTTGCAATGTCATTAACGGTTTCAGGCCCTTGAATTTCTACTTGCATCTAGCTCTGTTGACGAACTCTAAAATGTACTGAATCTTCCGTTTCAATTATCCTCGGATTAACTCTGCAAGATTCATTCTTGTGATGTGATGAACTGTTCTGGTTATTAAAGTCTGGACGTAATTCTGATACTCTTCAGGCCAAAATGAAGATGGATTTGAATCAATCACCATGTTGGAAGTATTGAAAGTGAAATGAATTTATCGCTTGTAGCTGGATTGATTTGATATCGATGCTAAAATTCTTTCTACCCAAAATCCAAATCAATCGAATTGATAGTGTGAAAAAATTATGTTAACGACTGATCATGATAATCGATACGTTTATGTAAATCGATCGATCGTGATAACTGAATATCAATTGATTTATACTGGGAAAGAATTTGCTAATTTTACTTCCTTTTTTAAAAAACAGTGAAAAGAAAAGTCGGATTGTGGAATGTGAGCCACACGTTGCAGAAGAAATCGAGCCCTCCCTCATCTTCTCATTTCGCATTAGGAAACGAGCGAAAAGGAGAAGAAGAATCAGGATGCGGTCGGCGGCGCCATTTCCCGGCCACCACAACATCGCATCATCTCCGCCTCCGCCTCCGACGCCGACGCCGACGCCGGTCGCCGTCGCCGCCTTCTTGACGCCTCCATCGAGATCGAATTTGAGACCGCTTCCGGCGGCACATTCGCGGCTGGAATCGAGGAGATCGAAACTCAGCGTTTGGGCAGCGGCAGTTCCAAATCAACGGCCTCTGGATCTGACGGAGGAGAACGTGATAGAGGCACTGGTGGACGCTCGGTTGGAGCTGGCGCAAATCTTCGACGCCTCCGTGGGCATTACAGGTTTGCGAGTTTCTCCTTTACCTCTACGAAATTCCATATTTGTAGTCGGATTGAGAAATTGAGAGGAGAAAGCGATTCAGGAGTGGTAGAACTAGCAAAACTGGACGGACCTTTTGTGAAGATTAGTCTGAGAGGCCGATTTTGGCACAAACGCTCCACTGTTGTGGCTCGTGTGGGCAACTATTTGAAGAACAGAATACCTATAAGTCTCTCCCCCTCAGTATCCTATGCTTTAAAAATATTTATTTTGGTTCTTGATTTTTTAAAAGTTGAGTGAAACATCCTAAAATTATGATGAAAAAAAATAGAAATACATGGATCAAAACGGATATGTTGAAATTACAATGACTAAAAGAAATAACCGAATGTTTTGAAAGTCAAATAACTAAAATGAGCGAAACTCGAAAGTAATAGACCAAAAAGAAATGATGTATCATCAAGTCAAACCAATGCAAAATAGTAAGGTGCATTTAAAGTATCTTTTTACCTTTTCCTAGTACTTTGGTGGCTTTATCATGTGTTAAAAGTGCCTTGCCATTTGCCAAGGGTGTCCTAATAGGATGAATCTCCCTCATCATTCATTTGATGTATGTGAATTTTTCCTTTTTCTATTTATAGATATTTTCATTCCTAGAATTTCCTAATTCATTATCTCAAATATGGCAATAATTTTTAAAAAAGTAATTAGAAGAATATGTGAGTTGATATAAACTTGAGATATATCTTGTGTTCAAAATTTGATTGGTTTTGGTTTGATAGGACGATAGAATTAAAAAAGTAAATTAGAAAAGAAAACTTGGGGAAGATGGATCTTATTTTTTTAGAAAACGATAGAATTAAAATATTTATTTCTTCCCCAAGTGACCTATTGAACATAGAATTAAAAATCAATCTATTTATTACGTACAGAAATTTCATAAACTCAATATGATTTTTTTAAAACTTGTATTGACTAAATAAACGAAAACTTAATTTGGGTATGTGATTTGAATAATCAAAGCTTCTAATTCTACCATGAACTAAATTCTTCTTAATTTAAAAGTTTACAATTATGACACAATTTCAATCCTCTATTATGAACTAAAGTGTAGAAATTTAATTCCATAGATTTATTTTTCAATATATCTATATTTATATTTATATTTATAACCATAGTAGGGAGTGAKCTCTTCTTATAGGTACAATTTCAGCCACTAAACACACGCATGACATGTGTTGTGAATACCGAATTGTTAGATGGGTCTTTCTTTGAATGATTTTGTTTCTTCTTTTCAGAACTAAGTTTATTTTCATATCTTTTTAAACTTGTTATTGCTTTATTGATCCATTATATTCTACTATTGATTAGGAAAATTATGGATAGAACTTGGATAAAAGATCTGAATAGGTTAAGCAAAGAATATAAAGAAGGGATTAGGTCATTTGTTGAATTGTCAAAGAATCACGTTGACGAGAGAGGGTTTACACGTTGTCCATGCAAGAGATGTCAAAAATACTAAATGGAAACGACCCTATGATGTTGAAGAAGATTTATATAAATATGGAATGTCTCCATTTTATAGTAGATGGATTTTTCATGGAGAA